TAGCTCAGTCTTCTTATTAACCAATTCTTACATCTTACGGTAACCCATAACTCTTGTCTGTGTTAGCCATGTGGCTCAGTACCTTTTTCAGCTGTCAGCTCACATGTTGCTTTTTCGGTGATCTGGGCAAGAATAGTGGAGGGAGCTTCCCGCTTCCAAGAATTCTTCTATTCTCATTGCATCACCTCTACTTCCTATCTGGTTTTCCCACCTATGCTTCCTGCCTGGCCAATCAGCGTTTATTTAAAACATGATTGACAGATTACAGACAATTCTCCCGCACCAGAGGTGTATATGTTGGGGTGGGCTTTGAGGTTTCAAAAGCCAATGCCATTCCACAGTCAACTTTCTCTGCCTTATGGTTATAAATCATATGTGAGCTCTCAGTTACTGATCCAGCACTATGCCTGCCTGCCTGTTGTCATGGTCTGACATGACGGTCATGGACTCACCTTCGAAAACTGTAAGCTCCCAAGGAACTCTTTCTTCTGTAAGCTGTTTTGGTCATGGTGGGTTTTTATGACAATAGAATAGTAATTAAAGCAGAAATTGGTACCGACATATAGTAATACTCTTCGAAGAGCCTTACATGCTCTCTTATGACTACCATGATGGTAAGGTTGTTCATTACTAGTAGCATATGTAAAGGTTGAAGCTAAGTGATCAGGAAGCTGATATTAAATGATTATACTTTGTTGTTCTATAATCAAAATTCATTCTTAAATACAAAAAGGCAGGTTTAACTAATCAAGAGTTCCTAATTTAAAAAATAAAATAAAAATCCAGAAGAGGTTCTGCTGGTGAGACGGCTAAGTGAGTGAAAGTCCTTGTTGTCAACTGGTGACCTGAGTTCAATCTCTGGGGCCTACATGGCAGGAGGAGAGAATCAACTCCAGAACGTTGTCCCATAAACTCTACTCGTGTAACACACACACACACACACACACACACACACACACAAACACACTAAATTAATATAATTTTTCTGAAGAACCACAATGCATTTCTTATCGAATTGCAAACAAAATCCTGAAAACAAGCAACAAATTAGATAACCACCTAGAAAACATGGTAAAATGTTACGTTTAACACATGACCACTATGCCCAAAGAACATAGATAAGAACTTAATTTTACTTTACTTTTTTCACTAACACAAAGCTAGTTAAAAAGGAGTTGGGAGAAATACATCTCAAGATCAAGTAGATGGTGACACATATTACATAATCCCGTGACTTCTATGCTGTGTGTACTGCAACATCTTCAAGATTAAAAAAAAAAAGCATTAAAGAAAAACAGTGATTCCTTTGTGAGTCTCCACCAACTCCAGACCCAAGCTCTTCCAGGGATATCATGGCCATCATAATTGACAGGACCCCATCTGGAGTCTCTAGGGTAACCCTGAACCAGCTACTGCTGCCTATGCTGGCCTGCCCTCTCAGCCCATCTCTACTCCCTTGGGACACACCACCACATGTGGAACTGACCCATATTTCTGCCAATGCTGATTCCCATAGAACCAGACCCCAAGACCTACTTAAGACACCTCCAGATAATCCATTTCCCCCACCATTAGAATAACACCCACCTCATTAACTGTGCTTATCTGGGAGTCTGAACCCTCAAAACCTAGTGTGGCCCCTGAGACTGAAAAACAAACATTATTATTCTGGTCCACATTCTGACAAGACTGTGGTAACAGCGACCAAACAACTAAACACATGCAACAGTGTTGAGACCAGCAATTGACACAAGGAACTACTACAAACATTGTAACTCCAAGGGTTTATATCTCAAACACATGGTATTTCCTGAACAAAATCATAGAAGAAAACTTCTCAAGTCTAAAGAAAGATAACAACAGACATGCTAAAGTATATGAGGGACGTTCACAAGGACTCAACCCTATACAAAGAATTACAGGCAACTAAGCAACACGAGGATCAGAAGAAATATTATTTCTCAGGGAAGAGCACACCAACTGGTTACCCAGCAGAAAATAGTCAGGTCTGAAAACATATATACAAATAACATTATACAGACTGAACAGGGCAAGCTTACTTTTTTTTGAAATATATATGAATATGCATATCTGTATGCAACAATAACTAATAAGAAAAGAGACCATGAATTTGAAAGAAAGCAAGGAGGGTTATATGGGGGAGCTAGAGAGAGGAAAGGGAGCACATGCCTGATGCTGCAAATCTAGCCAAGAACCCAAAGATGGAGATATGAGAACATCCTACTACCATGTTCTTAAATGAATATAGTGCTCATCTATCTTCTGAATACTTGTCTTTAAACCCATAAATCATTGCAACTCTCATCCCCTCATCAGGGTGGCTTCTTTTTGAAGATTCTACTAGAGAGATTCACAACTGATCAAAATGCAGAGGGTAAGTGGTCATGGAATACCCAGCCCCATGTGAGACATCTGTAACACAACTCTTACACCTAAGGCTCAGGTAACACGACAGAGGAGCAGATGACTGCTACAAGACAGCGTCTTCTGGACAGGACAGGGATGCTGGGTTCATGAACCCTCAACAAGACCTGCAAAGGCCACAGCAGTTAGCATGCCAACAGGGATGGAGAAAGTTTCTCAAAGCCCACCCTAGATTAGAAACTGCAGGATTTTGATGGGTGTGAAGGAAGGAGAGCCAGTTGTCTTCAAGGACTAGTTCCCAATTCTAAATAGTCAATCCTAAACAAATGCTAATGTACATTAATTGGACTCAGTAGACTATACTATATATTAATATTCACAACCATTAATATGCAATTATATACTATTAATATATAAATTTATATAATATAATATGCAGTCATATATTGTACATTTTAATATATGGTAACTGTTATATCCATATTTAATATAATATTTATAATTAATAAAAATAATATTTATTGCATTATATAACTATATGAAACTATATAATTATATAATACATATAATTATATATTATAATATAATATATTTACATATTAGATATGTTTATATGTTATTAGTTTGATGTTATATTAATATTGCATATTAAATTATGCTAAAATTAATAAAAATTATTATAATTATGTGTATTATATTATTAAGTAATATAAATATTTTGTGTAAAAAATTATGTAGTATTAGATATTATAAGTTATATAATATCTAATAATAATGTAATCATTATAATATAATTAAGATAAATGTAATTAATGATGATAAGAATTAATGTATATGTGCTAATATATACAATATATTAATATATAATTATAAAATAGGGCATGAATTTGGGAAGAGGTGAGGGTGAGGACCTAAGAGGACTTGGAGAAAGGAGAGGGAGGGACAGAAATGATGCAATACTGGGTAGTCATGTATCAAATTCTCAATCCCAATAAAACCCACTGAGAAAACAAAAATAGAAAATAACATGACATAAAAAGAAAAGGAGGATGTGCTGGATAGTTTTATGTCAATTAAAGTCATCAGAGAGGAAGGAATCTCAAATAAAAAAAAATGCCTGCATAATACCAGGATGTAGGCAGGGCTGTAGAGCATTTTCCTAATTAGTGATTGAATGGCGAAGGGCCACATCAATTGTGGGTGGTGCCACCCTGGGCTGGTGCTCCTGAGTGCAGTAAGATGGGCTGAGCAAGTCGTGAGGAGTAAGGCAGTAAGCAACACTCTTCCATGGCCTCTGTATCAGCTCCTGCCTCCAGGTTCCTGCCCTGCTTGAGTTTCTATCCTGACTTCCTTTGATAATGAACTGTGATGTAAAGGCATAAACTGAATAAACCCTTTCCTCCCCAAGTTGCTTTGGTCATGGTGTTTCATTACAGCAATAGTAACCCTAATGAAGACAGAGGACTAGGAAAAGGAAAAGAATTAGCAGGAGGCAGAACAGAGTGGGTAATGGGGTTTGGGGGAGCAGGGTGAGTGTTCAAAATACATAGTGTGTGTGTGTGTGTGTGTGTGTGTGTGTGTGTGTGTGTGTAAGAAAATGTCATAATGAAGCCTATTATTACATATTATTAACATATGTGAGTAAAAAAAGAAAAAGTACTGCCTACTTTCCCAATGAGTACTAAATAACAGGCTTAAGTAAACCCATTAGGAAACCAAACTCTAGAGGTTTTGTTGCTACTGCATAACTATAATTTTGCTACTGTTATGAATCATAATGTAAATATCTGGTATGCAATAAATCTTGTATGGGACCACTGTGAAAGGGTAGTTTGACCCCAAAACAGGTTGTAACCCAGAGGTTAAGAACTATTGTTCTAAGCTGGGCATGGTGACGCATGCCTTTAATCCCAGCACTTGGGAGGCACAGACCGGTGGATCTCTATGAGTTCAAAGCCTGTCTGGTCTACAGAGTGAGTTCCAGGACAGCCAGGGCTACACAGAGAAACCCTGTCTCAAAAATCTTGAAAATCAAAACAAAAAGGAAGGAAGGAAGGAAGGAAGGAAGGAAGGAAGGAGGGAGGGAGGGAGGGAGGGAGGGAGGGAGGGAGGGAGGGAGGGAGGAAGGAAGGAAGGAAGGAAAGCAAAGAACTGCTTGCTGCTCTACAAATTATGCAATGAATTTTAATATATTAATTTTAAATCCTTCTAAGGAAGACAATAATATTCTTTCTTAATTTTCTTATATACTATTTTCTGTCTCTACTGATACTGCTAGTTTTATGGGTTGTCAACAGTATTCTCAGAAAGTAGATAGTAACATGAACTTGGCAGTCAGAATGAAACCCAGGTTATGGTGCTACCATTCACATAACTAGCTACCGAAGCCTTTGAGAACAGTCTCTTTCCTCCACACCACCCCTTTCCTTCATTTTTTTTCTTGTAAGACTAACATGTATAAACATGTGGGTATGTGATCTAAATAGCAGGACTAACATTCAAAACCTGACTTCTCATCATGTACTCAACCACCCTAAAACTGGATCAACTATTTATTAAAACTGGATTTATGTAATAAATTTGGAGTTACCCTATTTTCAAATATGTTCCATTACCTGTATTGTGTCTTGCAATATACCCAAGTGCCCAGGCTGCGCCCTCCTTGACTCCAGGGTCAAAGTCCTCCAAGCATATCACCAGTGTGTCCAGAGCTCCACAGTCGACTATGGCCTGGGCCAGCTGCGGAGAATGTTTACCAACTGCTCTCAGCACAAAGGCAGCTGCTTTCTTGTAGAAACGCTATCAGGCAAGACAGCAGAAAAGATTGAAAACAGCTTTAGAATTATATTAAAGAAAACTCAAAAGATATGGAATACAAAAGACAAAACTTAAACTGAAAAATCATTTTGATGCTTCGAAATTCCCCCATTGCTCTTCTTTGGTAAACTGAAAATAAAATATGTTTATAATTACATTTTCAAATATCTTACACTTATGTGTGCATTTGAAAATTGTGAAAAATCAAATATAAACATGATTCTTTTCATAATTCCACAAAGTTATGAGATTTCATGATACTGAAGATATTATTTAGCTCATGCAAACACTTAGATTGTTCAAATATGTCACTGTCTGTTGGAGACCAAGGAAATATACAACATATAGCAATTGATAATTCAGATGTCAACCCATCAGATGACAGACTCTGATGGAGGGTAATCCTGTCCTGGCAAGGCCTGTAGGACCATCGACTCTGAAAACTGTCACTCACATTTGCTAGTCAGTTTGGTGTCTCCCCAATGCCTACATTGTAGTGTGTAATCTCATGTGATATGCATACGTAATCTCGTAATTACATCTCAATCTTATGGTCACATGTATCTGTGGGTGGTCAGAAAGATGACTTTTATTTATTTATGTAATGTTGATAAAAAGAAAGTGTACTTGGGCAGGCATCATAACTGGATCTATTTGTCCCATGAGACTGTAGACACTGAAAAGCCTGCCTTGTTCCTTTTGCTCAGACTAACTGCACATAATTAGCTCACTTTCACCTCAGAGAAAGTTCAAATTCGACTAAAGAATTTTTGCAAATAGATCATGAGTTTAAAACTTTACAGTTATGCACAAGGTCAGAATCATAGGTGTCCAATCAAGGTTGCTACACAAAGCCAATTATTTGTTTGCCAGTCTGCTGACAACAGACCTATGTCTCAAAGTCTGTCACAGGAAACTGTGTCCTCCTCGCTGTCTGGTCACAGTCTTACTCCTGAAACCTTGAAATCCTTGTGTTGCCATGGTAAATGGCTCAGCTCCTTATTTGCTTACCCTAGCAATGTGCTTTTGACCAATAAGAGGTAATTCTTGTAATTTTTATTATCACTCTAAGCCTCCTATAGGAGAGAAAAGTTTGGAGGCTAAAAAGAGAAGAAGCTAGGAGGAATTAGAATTAAAACAGGAAATTAGAATAGAGGCAGAAGAATAAAGACTTGTTCAGAACAGCGCACGTGTGTGAGTTCATTCACCTCAGTTACCCTAAGAATAAATAAGTTTCTTTCACTTGCTGGAGCATCCAATCTGAACCCTGAAGAGGACCTTGGAGCTGAACCCCAAAAGGCTGTCAATAACTGTGCTTTTCTGTCAGCTAATTCATTCTTTTACTTGTCTTCAGTCTATAATCATGGCAGGACTTTCATGACCTCTATTAATGTTTTTTGTATCCCAAGTTATCCTGAAATAACAGTGTTTCAGGATGTCCTGAGCAGTCACCACATAAACATAAAGATAAAATAGTCATATATTTCCATTTTCTTCTGGTAAGCTAAACAGTACGATATAAGTTATTTGACCCTTCTAGAAAAGTGTTTTCTGGACACAGCAATGCAGCTGCATATATGAACTTATGAGTGTGAAGGTCATTGTGCCCACAGACCTCCAGGGAAAACAGAAATATTAAGCACACGTGATTGTCCTCTCAAAGGAAAGGACATACAACCTTATTTCCACCCAGAAGGCTGGGAGTTGGAGGTGATTAACAGCCTGGTGATCTGCGTTATATGGAGGATCAGGCCATGTCAAGCACCTATGACCAGGACTGTAGGTGGCGAATAGCTTAAATAACATCGATGCTATCTATCCTACGACTGATATCCTTCCCGTGCCATATCCTTCCCCAGGCCCTTAAGCTAAATACATGTAGCCTATCTCTAGAACACACCTTGGAAGAAATGGCACACACTTAGAGTTGAGTTTCAAGGTAAGCATGTCTCCTTGCAAACCGGAGATTGTATTACATAAGGAAACTTTTTTCCCAAATTATACTGTGTTTAAATATGCTGTCAATAAAACCCCTGGCATCTGACGCTTCGTGAGATCTACTCTGACTAAGTTGTACTGAACAGTTTCCATTCTCACCTCTTTAAGGTTCATTTCCCTGCCTGCCATGATGCCTGTAGGGACTCCTGCAACTGGCCCCCAGTGTGAGGCATACAACCCCAGGGGAAGGTAAGAAAAGGTTTCTTTGAATAGGTATAGAGATGCAGAAAACTTGAGCCTCTCACTGAAAAGGGTTTGAGACCTTAGTGAGAGAGTGGGATCAGCTCGGATTCTCCTCAGTCCTTTCCAACAGAGCATTCTGTACAATTGTTGGAACGTTTGTTAATATACACAAAAACAAAGTAATTTGGAGCTGTAGATCTACAATTTTATATACATAGGTTCTAATGTAAAGAGAGCCCATAAAAGGGAAGGCAAAATTTTAGTCAGTTATTTTTATAAACTGGAGAAAGGAAAAATATTTTTTCTGGACACGTCTTGGCAGTGGACTTGGAAGCCACCAATGGACTTCCAGGCCAGACACACACTTTTGGGGCTCGCCCTCCTGCATGATCTAATTGGAACCCAAAGCTCTGTGGTTACTTGCTGCCTGTCAGCCTTTTCCACACCAGGCAGAGTGGCAACACCTGAATTCCTAGGCACAGCGGGCAGGGCTCCACCACCTTCAGCATGAGCTAAGCCTGGCTCCCCAAAGTTTAGCATCTTGTTTGTTTCTTTGACTTTTGTTTGTTTATTTTTGTTTGCTTTCCTCATATTGGCAACAACTCAATATACATTGATCAATGGTCTCTTGATGGAGAAAAATATTCAAACAAGCCCAATAAAACAACTGCACGTAGGACACAGAGCACTTACGCCAATGCTGGTTCAATTTCCTGGGGTATCGGTCATTCAGTATAGGGAAGGCATTCTCTCCTGCTCTTCTAATCGATGCTTAAATGAGACCTTGACTTTCATGGTAAATAAACTAAAGGAGAACATTTTTCAATTTCAGGCTATGTCAGATTGCATATGCTCTTACCTTCCTATCACCACTAAGAATTTTGACATTGCTTTCTTAAGACTCTTGGTTAAATTCTATAAGAAATGTAACACCTGAAGCAGAACGAGTTATCAGTCCATTAAATAAAGCTGTTGCTTAAACAGTAACTCACAGAAATAATCTTTCCTTATCAATTATAAAAATTTATGCATGTTATAATTCCCCACATGTACCCATCCCTAATTATAATAGAGATGAAAATGGGAGGAAAGCTTCATGCGCTCCTTCGGCTATGTTTCTTTGCTGTAAAAGGGAAGAGACTAAATTAAAAGTAAATCTATCCAATCTTATTGAAACATGAAAATAATACTGACCTGCTGGCACCGCCATCTATAGAAAAGAGCAGCAGGAAGACCTGCCTAAGAGGGAAGCCAGGAACAGCTGTGGCTGTTAGTGGTAAAGGCAGCTCTTGGGAAACTTAGTCCTCCTGAGCCCTCTGCTTTTAGACACCTTCCTTTTAGACTAAGGAGACCACAGCAGTTCTCTGAGATATTTTAAATTAAGATAACTTTTATATGACAACAAATTTCCAAGGTTTAAAAATATAATGAAACAAAACTCAGGATAATAAAAACTGACTTGGAGATGTGTGTCTAATCACTCACGTCTTTGCTAACAGTGTTCAAACCCAGGTTCTAAATTTTTAAATTAAAAACAACTTATGTTTGATAAATAAGGCACATTTAATAAATAAGTTCTGTAAATTTCTAAGGTCTATTCTCACTATCAGAAACTGACCTAAAAATATAGGTCTAGCCCCTTTGTCTTTGCAACTGTATTTTTTTTATGCTAAAGGATCTTCAATTTAATGTTTTAAGGTTCAAACTTAACAGCAATAAAACTATAAAATCCTAGTCTTATAAAATCTAACTTTTTGTAAATTGTTGTAAATAATTTAGCTGTACGAGTTAACGGTCAGTCGCCTTACAAATGATCAAATTCTTTATAATGTGCTCAGAACTATGGCTGTGGTCATGCCGAATACAAACATAATTCATTTACAAATACAAGCTTTATTTAGCCTTCTTATATGCTGTCTAAATTAAACCTAAAGCAAGTAACTAAAAGCAAGTAAAGTTCATTTGAAATCAGGTACACTTAATAGATGGCTGCCTGGTCAAATTAAGCATCCATCCACTGATTGATGTAGGAGGGTCTTTTTTCTATGTGTTGCTTTCATTGGTTAAATAAAGAGACTGTCTTGGCCTTTTGATAGGACAATAGCTTAGATAGGTGGAGTAGACAGAACAGAATGCTGGGAGAAAGAAAGCAGAGTCAGGCAGACGCCATGGCTCTCCTATCTGAGATGGACGCTGGTTAGACTCATGCCGGTAAGCCACAGTCAAGTGGCAATACAGATTATTAGAAATGGGTTGAATCAATATGTGAGAGTTAGCCAATAAGCGGCTAGATATAAAGGGCCAGGCAGTGTTTAAATGAATACAGTTTCAATGTAATTATTTTGGGTAAAGCGAGCCAGGAACTGGATGGTGGAAAGCGGCCCACTGCCCCTTTTACAACAACTGATATGCTCACAGTATTAGCAAAATAAGAAATTTTATCTTGTCTTTTATGTCAAAAAATGGAAATAGCTTTTTTCTCATTCCAGGCTGTTTAGGCACTGAAAACCCAAACCACCCAGACTCCTTTATACTGGTGATTACTAAAACTTCATTTTTTAAAGTTTATATTTTTGTACAACATCACAAAAAATTTTAAATGGAAACATAAAGAGGCTTGAGATGAATTTTAAAAGGAAAATTGGAGTGAATTGGAAGTTTTTTAAAGATTTCTTCTGAATAATGTAGTGGTCATGGAATAGAAACATAATTCAGGGTTTCTCAAATTTCCTTAGAGACCAAAGAAGTATTGAACCAACAATACAATTAGTAGAAGTTAGATTATTTAGAAGTTTTCACCT